ATGCAGTACCGCGCGGCCAGCGCGGAGCTGCGCAAGCCCGGCTACGAGCCGGTGCTGAACGAGCCGGACTCGGACGACGACCTCTCGGATGGCGAGGACGCGTGGGAGGACAGCTACCGGAGAACGGATGCGCCCCTCGCGCGGTGAGGCCGCGAGCGACGCCACCCCGCACTGCGCCTCCCGCTCGCCCTCTTTTCCTCGCGCTTTGGGACACCGAGAGATCACGCCATGCCATGCCTCGCCGGTCATGCCCAAATGCCAGAGATGGCCTGCATGAGTTGCGCTGCGCTGCACGGTTTTCGCCTTGTGGTTGCCGACTAGCAAAGGAAGCAAGTTGTTCTTGTCGCTTATTTAATCTTAACCGTTAGGGAAAGTCGCCGGGCTTGCCCGGCCAACGTCAAGCGAGCATGCAAAACGATATCGTCAATAGAGACGCCCATCCTCTTATTTGCCCAACTAAACCTATCAACTGTACTACTCACAAACTCACCCCTCTTCCTCTTGCCCCGCTTTTCGTCCCACAACCTCTTAAACTTGCATGGTTTCAACACGCCCAACCTGCTGCTCAAGCCCATCGTCTTTAAACGCAGGCCAGATAAATCCCTGTATTCCCCTAGTCCTCATACACGCGGCACTCGTCGCTGTCGGGGTTCTCAGCACAGTACCCCTCGAGCACCTCGTCCTTCACCGGCTGCGGGTCCAGGCTCTTCTCGGCGGCCTCTGGCGGGGGCACGGCCACCTCATCGCCGGGCTGATACTCATCGCCGGGCATGAACACGCTCCCCTCCTCCGGCGCCGCCACGGCGCCCGGGGCATCGGGCCCATACGTGTTCCTCAAGTAGTCGCAAATCTCCGCCGACTCGAACATCTCCACGCCGGTATTCGCGTCCGCGATAAACGGCGCCAGAAAACGGCCCGTCCTCTCCTTGAGCTCCGCACGGGAGCGCGACCCGCGCGCGGTTGTGTGCAGGTAGTACGGCAGCTCGAGCTCACACAGCGTCTCGCGCACGATCTTCGAGAACGGCGACGCCTCGTAACCGTACATCTCGATGGGCACTTTGGCGGCCACGGTCTTTCTTTCGCGCTGCTTGCCCTTTCCTTTCCGGAAGCTCTGGGCCAGGCCGGCGCCCGCCGTGCTCGCCGAGCCGATGATGGACGGCACGACGCCGGACGACGGGACGTACGTGCGGTACAGGTAGCGGATGATGTCGTCCGACTCGTACGCCGCAAAATCTGTGTTGGGGTCCTCCAGGCACAGGAACTGGGCCTTGCCGCTGGTGGCCTTGACGTACTCGCGGTATGTCTTGCC